ATGTTTACAATAAATGAATTTAAAGTCTGGATGCTTAATAATTTCACAATGAGCCCTTTATTTTTTGTGAAAGACAAAACAGATAAGTTTCTGCATTCCTCACTCTGAAGGGCCAGGCAGCTGAGATGGGATTTATCCCAGTACTTCCACACAAATTCACGGAAGACTTCTCACCTGTTAATTTGTTTGTTCATTTTTAAATTAAATGTCATTAAATTAAAGCCACCCACAGTTCCGCTACCCAGAGACGTTCACTGTTGGCCATTCTTGTGATGTAATTACTCATTCTTCCCAGCTTTGCTCTATCTCAAGAAAGTATCCAAACCTCTGAGCCACTACCCAAAGCCAGCCAAAGGTGGTTTCTGAGAAAATGTCTTAAGTTTCTGAGAACAACACCTTATTATATTAAGGAATATTAGGCAATTTTCTACATTAGCCCCTCAGTGCTTCATTATTTGGCATCTGAACAGATTAGGAAATGTGTTTGTTTCTGATTAAATTGGAGGGCTGAGAGGACAGTCGTCAACAAGGAAGCTCTTTTTTGTCAATACTGGGATTGAACGGAGGGCCTTTGTACTGAGCTACATCCCCACACCCTTTTAGTTTTTATTTTGAGACAAGGTCTCACTATAGTCACTATCCTGCCCAGGTGCACTGCTCCTGCCTCAGCCTTCCAGAGTGCTGAGATTATAGATGTGTACTATAAGACCTGGCTTGATACATTCTTTATTCAGTTCTCCATTTTGAAAGGTACTTCTGACTTCATTCAGTAGAGGTAATGTTCTAATAGCTTTAAAAGTATTTGTTTAAAAGAAAAGACAACTGAAATGAGTTGTTTAGACCATACACCCAATTTTACGCACAGTTATCCAGCTAATAAAAGTACGTATGAAAATAAATTAATTTGTCCAAACTACATAGTCTAGATTTTTGTTTAGATCTCACCCAGATATATTATTGATAGATAGCCAGATAGATAGATAGATAGATGATAGCTAGCTAGATAGATGGTATTTATGTATATTAACAAGGGCTATTTAACATGGCATTAATAATGAAGTTGAAGGGATTCTGTTTTATTCCCTTTTCTTCTCACTCCATGTGAAGGGTCTTATTCACTTTTTAAAGGAAGGGCAAAAGTCACCACAACAAACATCTTGTGGAAAGGAATCAACGGTTGGGGTCACGAAAAGCCTTTATCAGACTTTACCAAATATTTGACTAGAGAAATGATTTTAAATGTGTTGACTTTAATTCTCATTTGGAGAAAAAACAGACAGATCTTTAGGACATGCTCGCTGACTTTTTTAGTCTTTTTTATGTACTACAATTACGGTTAGTATAAAAATACATCATTTAAAAATACATCATTTATAGGGCTGGGGATTTAGCTCAGTGGCACAATGCCTCCCTGGCAAGTGCAAGGTCATGAGTTCAATTCCCGGTACTGAAAAAAAAACCAAAAACCCAAAAACAAAAAACAAAAAAAATACATCATTTATAATGAACTTAGGCTTTAGAAAAAAATTTGGAATAACTTAGTCAACATAGACATGGAAATATAGCAAGTGCTTTTAGTTTTATGTTTATTACATAGAAGTATAGCAATTATATTTTAATGATATTCTTCCACTAATAGACCATATATTATTCCCAATATTTTTACCCAGTAGCATAGAAAAGAAACAAACACTTAAAAATTCCATAGTCTTATTATTTTCATTCATCCAACAGACATCTTACATGGGCTACATGTTTTCTAGGTCCTAGGGAGATACAGAGAAGAGGAAATAATTATCTTCATGGAATTTATTTAAGAAAGTTACTATTCCATACATTCAGTTTCACTGAGGAGCATTTACTGACAGCCTGTAGAGCTTTTTCCTAGCTCCTGTTGTCATTTCTCATTATATCGGAGAGAAGTCACGAGAGTATTGTATCTTCAACTACTCATAGTTCCAGACTATGAGCAGAGAGACAGAAAGAGTTCTCTCTCAGTCCTAAATGAATTGCCCCCACTCTGTATTCCTATGATACTCTGTGTGCACCAGTATCCTAACAACCACCACACTATGTGATGCCCTTGTGTTTCCATGTCTGTCCCTACCTGTGGGCTCCGTGAGAATCAGGGCCCTGTTTGAATCATGTCTCACCCACAAAGAGCATGGAACTTGCTTGAGAAAATGACTGACTTGAAGAGTTGTAGCTGCTGTCCTCAGAAAACTTTTACTTCAGTAGAGAATGGAAGAAGATAGAATAACACATTCTATAGAAGTGAAGTCCTTCAAGAGACAGGCAACTTTTATATAAATTTTCATGTGAAGGGAGCCCCAGTAGAATACAGCTTAAAAGAGGGGGAGAGGGGCTGGGGCTTTAGCTCAGCGGCGTAGCGCCTGCCTGGCAAACACAACTTCATGAGTTCGATTCCTGGCACCGGAAAAAAAACAAAAGAGGGGGAGAAGGTTTATTTAACTCACTAAGTGAGGTATGTTAATTACTAAATTTATAGTAGAAAAAAATCATTTCTCCAGATCTTTATATTAAACTTTGAAAGGATCATGTCTATATGTAAAATAATTACTTCCCCAAATAGGCATTTACTAAATTTATTTAGTTTAAAAATAAACTTAGAATTCTCTTCATAATCTTGATTTCTGTATATTTGAATGTGGTATGCAAAAATAGTAAAAGCGTCTAATGGGAGGGTCAGGAGCGAAACAATAGTCAGATGCTCTCACCTAAAGAACTGTCTTTTACTACTGGGTCCCTATCTGTCACATTCTCATTTCAGCGTCCCTATACATTGTGTTCCTGTACATTGCCCCAAACAGGCAGTACATTTTAGCTGCTGTGTAACTGAACTCACCCGCATTCTGTGTGTGTGTGTGTGTGTGTGTGTGTGTGTGTGGCAATGGGGACTGAACCTGGGTCCTTCACATGGAGCTATATCCCCAGCTCCCCAACTTTTTTTCAGACCGAGTCTTGCTCAGTTGCCCAGGCTGTGCTCAGCCTTTTGAGGTTCCTGCCTCACCCTCCCTGAGTGCTGGGATTACTGGCATGTGCCACCAGGTGTGGCTACATTCTTGATCTACAGGACATCCTCTCTTTAGATTTACCTGCTTAGGCATAAACCGTCTTGTGGAGTAGTATGTGACGTGTACCTACATTTTGTAATATATTTTGGATATACTGTATTTTTGGATATTTTTTTTTCTTAGTGAGCCACAAAGTAAAAAAATGATAACACATAGATACAAAAAATTCTACAATTTTGGCCTCCAGTCAGATTAGAATAATACCCATTTACTGACTGCCATATAGTAAATGATCATAACTTGTGATCCACAAAACTTTCTGGCTGATGAAAAACTGCTTGTCTGGTAGCCAGAAATATCATGAGCCGGGCATGGTAGTTACACCCGTAATCCCAGCACTCAGGAGGCTGCGACAGGAAGACTGCCTTGAGTTCAAAGCCAACTTGGGCTACACAGTGAGTTCAAGGCCAGCTTGAACCACATAGCAAGATCCTGTATCAGGGGCAAAAAAATAGCCTTACTGTCTCATAATCAAACAAGAATGTTAAATGAGGAAGAGAGAGAGTATTCAACAATAGCAAGAAGACACTGAAGAGGATGTCCTTTTTCTTGGTAAAACCATTCAGTATTTTCTCTACTTTATTCCACCCCATCCTTATTCTCAGAAAGACTCCCTTGGGAAACACATGGAAAATATTTGTTAGTATTTTCTGAATCAGAATACATTCAGTCCATGGAATCCCTTAAGGATGTTTCACATAAATTGACCATTCTCAGATTTAAACAAGAGGCTGAACAAATTGAAGGGAGTTCTGTGAGCTGCTGCATGAGTTGCAAAAACGGTGTTTTCAATGCAAAGTGGGACTTTTATTAGGGAGAGGAGCTGAAGAAGTTGCTATACATTTTAATATTTTGGTTTATAATATACACAGGTGTAAGTCACTGTAGAAACAGCCTGAAGGCAGGCTTTAAATTATTACCACTGTTCATGTTGCCATAAGGATATAATGCTGTCACCAATCTCAAGAAAAGTGAGCCTGCAGGCTTATTTGCTTATCTCAGAAAGCTCTATCGTTTACTTTTTATGGTGGTTTGACCTGTAATGATCACTTTCTTTGTTGTGATTCTTAAGGACCCCAACTGTTTGGGTCGTCCTATTGCAGGTGACCTGACTGATGGTGACATATGTTTACATTCCTGAAATGGAAGAGCTTTCTCACCACGCTCTGGCCCAGGTACCATACTAATAGGAAAGCACTACACACATTTTCCTCCCGAAAGATTAGCTAATGAGCAGTTGGGGCCCTGAGGCCAGCCTGATCCGCCCAGCTTCAGTGACATTACAAAACAGAACAACCATAAGAATCTCAAGGCTTGTTGGTTTCTTCTATAAATAATGGCAGTGGTAGAAAAATAAAAAAACCTATGAATTTTTACACTGCACATAAGATTTTTCAATTTGCTCCTATTAGCATTCTTTTCTTTCCTAACAAAATCAGGTTTTATACGTCATAATTTGGTTTTGATATACAGATACATAAAATTTCCATTATATATATTTCTTTGCATGAAGAATTTAAGCTTTGACTCGATATTAAAATACACACAAACATACACACATGTAACCTTTCAAGAAAAAACCCTGAAAGACTTATCTCAAAAGAAATGTAAAATGAAAGCAAAAAAAATTGATTTCCAAGCTTTTTAGGAGGCAAGTGATCATTTTGAGGAAGGCTGTAGGCCCAGGGATATTACCAAACAGACTTTGGTTCAAAACTGATTAGTTTATTTCCTTCCCGGTAGGTATGTTTTTTCTGTTTTTCTTAAGGTGTGAATTGGCCGAGTCCTGTAAAAGAAGGGTGTCTCTGGAGAGAGACATAATTTGTAAGCTGCAGACTCACTAGATTTCATTCTGCTACTGATTTCCAACCAGTGTACAGTTTCAACTCTTGTCTTCTGGTGCAGACCTTTACTGCCTGAGGAATGCAGAGCCACGGTACAACCTGCACAGACCCTGAGCTCAGAGTGTGCCCGGCTCTGTCGGAACGGCTACTGCACCCCAACGGGCACCTGCTGCTGCAGTCCAGGCTGGGAGGGTGACTTCTGCAGAATCGGTTAGTATCTCTGTGGTCACAGAAAGACTGGGTGTGGAACAGTTCTTAGGTACGTAGGCACATAGCGTCCCTGTTCTAGCATCATCTCGTGTTCAAAATATTTAGCCCTTTACAATAATCTTGGTGCCCATCTGTTTCTGAACTTCTAAATTAAGTCTTTTGCATTTCCTTTATGCCAACTATTCACATATATTAGTTAACTATGAACATAAAAGAACTTCAAATGACTGAGTCCTTTCAAAAAGAAAAAAAAAAATGAGACCAGCCCAACCAGGGCCTCTCTATGGGGTTCCCACCCCGCCCACACCAACACACCAGGCAGTGACTTGGTGCCTGCCAACCCCCTTCCCCATCCAGGCATTTACCAAACACCCCATAAATGCCCTCCCGGCTCTACTCCTTGCTTTCTTGCTACAGCACACTAAAAACAGGGTTTTCCAGTGAGTGTTTCTAAATAAAAGGGAAAACGCAATTATCTAGAGTCATATTACGAGACCTTTTAATTCTGTTTGCTACTCCCCTGTGACCCGTCAGCTCTGTGTGCAGCTGTTCAGAAAGCAAAGGAGATTTTTATTCAGGGTTATTCTATCCTTGAACGTGAGATTTCCTCAATTTTGCTCAATGATGTTTAAGTTCTATTTGATGTGAAGTGAGAAAACTGGATAAATTTAGAAAGCTAGAGTGTAAGGTATTATGTGTTAAAGATGCAGATTCAACAATCAGCCTAGATAGCTCTTTCTCAGAAACTGTTGACCTCTGCTATTTTATATATTAAGGTGCCTCTTGCCAAGGAAAAGTAAAGCCACAAGTTAATTTTAATAATGTTCTGAATTCATAAACACTGTTTTTTATTCTAGATATGTTTGTTTCAAAAATCAGAATCATAACTTGCCTACTTTATATATTGTCTAACAAAAATAACTGATATATAAAGTCACTTTTATAGTATACATTTTATCTTTAAATTATTTCAGCAATTTAATGATATTAATAACATTATGTGATTGATTAATACCATGACTGCATATCCAGTACCATGACTGCATGTCCAGGAAAGAGGGATCAATTCAAACTCAACAGAAATTAAGTAATTACATTATTTACAACAATTGCTTACATTGCAGTGATTCAATCTGCCTTCCTTTTTGTTAGCTGATCAAAAAGTAATAATCAGTGTTCAAATGTAATAATATTCAAATTCCTGATAATATATTTTCTTCTGTTTCCCTTGATGCCTGAAAATATCTATCTCTTTCTTTTATATAGTGTCTACTTTGTTAGATTCTTTATATTTTGTCTTACCTCTTTTGTTATTCAGGTAATTAATTAACAAGTATCTATAGAGTACCTTCTAGTTAGCACATATTTAAACTGAGGGCAAACAAATTATTTTGCATATTGGTGGCTTTATACATACCTTAATAGATAATAATAATATGTGATGTAAGTGGGAATATGCTTTCTTTTTTTTGTTGTTGGTTTTTTTTCTTTTCTTTTCCTTTTTTTTTTTTTTTTTTTTAATCTTTTTGAGACAGGGTCTCACTGTGCAGTTCAGGCTGGCCTTGAACTCACAGTAATCCTCCTCCCTCAGCCTCCCGAGCCCTGGGATTACAGGTGTGCGCCACCACGCCCGGCTTCAGAATGTACTTTCTTTGGATTAACATGAAGTTTTATTTCAGTAAATCTCCTTCCATCTTTCTACTACATTTAAATAGTTGTAATATATAAGAGAAGCCAGAGCTACTTGACGGGAGTAATCTATCTGGGATATTTTGACCCAATCAAGAATTTTATTCTTATCTTTACATGATTTACTCATCTCCCATGAATTTAAATGAGAAAATTCTTATTCTTTTCCATGTGTCAGCCACAGACCCCTGGACAAATGCATTTGAAAATGTGAAAGTGACCCTGACCCCTCAAAGTATAAGGCAAAGTATTCAAGGTATTCAGTTCTGTCTGCAGTGGCTGCACTCTCCAAATTTATCTAATCAGCAAATTGCAATCAATTTACATACCAAATTCTATGCCTCTGTCTCATTGTAGAGTAAATCTTTACATTCTCCACCTATACTATCAGGGTAAAAATTCTGTAATAAAGAAATTCAGTGCTGTGGACTAACCCAGGAAGGATTGTTCAGAATGTTCTTCGCTGGCCAACTGCACTGATCCCAGGATTGGAGTATGAAATGTCTTGTAATTAAAGTGAAGAATGTGCTATGCTCCCCCCGGAAGCATGAGGAGGCGCATATGGTGGATAGTCCATCCCACCCAAACTCCACGATGTTCTTACCTGGCCTCCTTCTCTAGGCAGGACGCTCCCCCGTTGAGATCCTACCCTGCGGGAAGGGGGTTCGAGTACCTGGAAGGGCTTCTGTTGAAATGCCTCTGTGGAGCACAGATTTGGCTGAAATGAAATCTTTGTGTTAAACAGTGTCAATCCTGAAAATCACTGAAATCATCTCATGATCATGAAATGATCTCATGATTTCTGCTTCTTCAAATTCTCGTGATTTCTTCTCTAGAAATGTCTCCCACTGCCTGCTGAGTTCTGGCCTCAGAGTAACTATGGGTCTGAAAACCTTTCCTACTGATCCTTTAGATCATTCTGTTATTATCTTCCTTCTTCTTTCCCTACCTTCCCTTATTCATCAAATATATGAGGGTCTCATACTCAACCCTTTCTGATATACAGAATGAGAGTGTGATATTGTTGCTTTTTCTTCTCCCAGCAAAATGTGAGCCAGCATGTCATCACGGCGGTGTCTGTGTTAGACCAAACAAGTGTCTCTGTAAAAAAGGATATCTTGGTCTTCAGTGTGAACAAGTGGACAGAAACATCCGCAGAGTGACCAGGGCAGGTATTCTTGATCAGATCATTGACATGACATCTTATTTGCTGGATCTAACAAGTTACATTGTATAGTTTCCGGGACTGTTTAAATATTCCTACCAATGGGCATTTATTTTTTATCCTGTCATTAAAAAAAAAAAAAAAAGACTGCTCTCCTGTTACACACTCCTGTGATTTCATTTTACTTTATTAACTTAAAAATAATTTTCGGAAATGTACAGATCCTCCATGTGTATGTTGGTATGTCTGTTCACACATGCACATACACACCCCACTCACAACCCCTATAGGTGTGGTTGCAAAGCAGATGGGTTTTTAAAATATATGTACTTCATTGTACAGAGCCATTTACACAGAAATTCCACTGTACATTGATAACGAATTTTTATGTTTCCAGAAGAGATTATTTGACTTCCCAAGAATTTTCTGTCTGTAACTACTAAAGGCACCATTAATGGAGTTTTGAAACACTACTGTGCAATGTGATGGATCTAATAAAAAAGCAATATTTTTATATGAAAGGACTATATGAGAGAATGTTTCGGAACTCCCTGATGAATTTCTAACTGAGCAACTTGATAGAAAATTGTAATCTTCATTTTTACCAAGGTATCCAGTCACAGAACGTTACGCACTTACCTTTTGATTTGGCAGGGCAATCTGGTGACTTCAGCCTAGTCGCAAGATTGTTTTTAAATGTTTTATAATTAAATCATAACAGCATATGTTCAAATCAATCCTCCTGAAAGGTCTGCTTTTATTATGTATTTTATTTAACAGTAGGCACTGGGTTTGTGTTACGTATTTATATTTTTTATTTTATTTTTATAATATAGACATCACCTAGATGAAACACCTTTAACCTGTCCTGTAAAATGCTAAAGTTACACTTTGCACCAACTTAATTGGAAAGAAGGGGAGTGAGAAAGCAAAGAGTCTTTAATGTGCTGCGGATCTAATCTAGCAGTGTTTCCTTTTGCCAACATGTAATCATTAACGACGGATGAGAAAGCAAGAAAACAGCCAATTCCCATAAAATTCCAGCATTAAACATTTGTAAAATGCCTCTCACCATAGCAAGACTGTCAGAGTGTATGCAATTAGAATGTTGCAGATTTCACACTGAATCAAAACCTCACAGGAGAAGAGCTCACTCGTTTTTATCCAAGCATGGTTGTATAAGTGTCACTTGTACAAATTTTTAATAGAATAATTCTTGCTGGATATGACTTTTAATGTATATGCTGCTCTTTCAGAACACAGTAAAAATACTATCGGGTTAATGTATCAATAAATTTTCTGTAAAAATTCGTTCAGGTTTTTCAAGAGATGACATTGTTCTAACTTAAAACTGCAAAGAGTCTGGTAGACATTTTCTTAATGATTTTGGCCACTTCTCACATTTTTGGATGTTAATAAAATTATAAGCCCTTTTTGCACTGCTGAAAAGACACCTCTGCTCATGACAAGGTCACACCCACTCTAGCTGTCCTTCAGTAAACCTCCATTCCTCTGGACTCTAAATTGTAGAATTATCCAGCTTACGCAGTGCTGTCTGACTTTGTAAACCTGCTCCTTACCCTTAAGAATACGGGCCTCAAATAATTTTGAAAACCCGGTAGCTACTATTTCTCAGTTGTTTAAAAGAGAGCTTTGGAATGAAAGCAGAGTGAGTGTTTATATAGAAACCATAATGTAGAAAGAAAGATTGGTTAAGTACACCGCTCTTGTCTTCCATATTTGATTACCTAAGTTTCAAGTGACCTCATGCCAAATGGAAGTGGTTGAGAAATCTTGGTTCAGTGCTTAGTGAACAATAGCCTGCATTAAAAAGTGCATGCATAATTTTGCACAATTTAGATTCCATTGACAGTCTATTCAAAGACGTCTCAGGATTAAATGAGCATGGAGACCAAATTGCCCTCTTACCCCAGAAAAGGGGTGGTCCCTTCGAGTCTCACTAACACTTCATTGGCCCAACAGTGTGACAAATCTTGCAATGAACCATGCAGTAGCCTGCATCTGTAGGTTAATAGCAATCTTTTGTCTCCAGTGTTTTCTCTGCATAGCCCTTTTACTGAATTCCATCACAGAAAGTTTTACAATTAAAAAAAAATGTCCTGACAACCATTTTTGTAAATGGACCCTACCATCTAATCATCTCTTATTCAATGTGGGTGACACTAACAAAATGTGAACTTCTTGTGAGGGAGCCAGTTGTCTAAATCTGTTAAATTGTGCAGTTTTATTACACATTCTCCCATTTCTACTTTGACCGAAAACAACAAGGGTTCTGCTGTATATTCAGTAAAATCTTAAAAGGCAAGTGTTTCTTCTTACATCTTTAATCTGTCTATCTCCTTCCCCAAATAAAAGATGTTCTATTGCCAGTGGTTCTGCTATTTAAATTAATCTATATTAAATTGACCAGACCCCACTTTTTTTATACAGCCCCTGCCCAAGTGAATGAGTTTCAAGTGACTAAGAAAGCATGTGTACCCCAGGTGTCACTGCCTTTCCTATTGTGAGTTGTTAGAATAAAAGACCACACTGTTCTAAAAGGAAGATAGCAAGGTCCACGGATATTAAACCCAAGCAAAGAAGGTGAAGTCACTGGAGTCATTTTATTTTTCTGTTCTCAGGAAAAAAGTAGAGGGCAATGGTAATTGATGGCTACATATTTTAAACTAAGTGGCCAATTAAAATATCTCTTTGACCTTTTCTTTCAAGTAGATTTTTTTAAATGCCCGACTGGGAAATTATCTTCAGTGATTCATGGTGAGAGGTAGGTAGGAACTGGCTAAAAAGCAAGAGCTAAGGAACAATTATTGTTTCATCAAATAAAAGGCAAATTCTGCTTAGTTCATAAAGCACACAGTCCAAAGTGGAAGAAAAATGTCCTTGATATGAGTGCACATGTGAAAAATAAAGATGAAATGAAGAATAGGCGAATGTATATTATTATCCCTTTATCCATTCCAGAGTTTAAGAATTGGGAGTCAGTTGAATGTGAAATGTTGCTATGTTGTTTTAGTTAACAAATAACCTTTCTACCACTGTGTCTGCCAAACTTTTGTCCTGGCTCATAGAACCTTGATTTCTGGGGAGTTATTTAAGATAATAAAATGAAAATTGAACTGGCAGGTATTGAATATAAAGGGAAGAAAGACCTAAGAAACGTATGTAATGGCAAAAGTGTTTCTATCCATATCTTTTCTCCTTAGGATTTTATTTCAACGTAGCCATTGTAAAATATATCTTTTATTTTACCACAAAGAGTACTCAGATATTTTCTCATATTCATAGATCTATCCCATAATAAAATAGTGAAGAAATTCATGCAACACACACACACACACATACAACTAGCCAGAGAACTGTCCTTCACATGCCTCAGAGTACTCACTTCTTTCCTACCTTCTCATTTGAAAATAATTACAGAACCGGGGCTGGGGATTTAGCTCAGCGGCACAAGCACCTGCCTGGCAAGCGCGAGGTCATGAGTTCGATTCCTGGTGCCAGAAAAAAAAAAAAATTACAGAACCATGTACACATACTTTTATTTTTTATTTTAAAGAGAATAGTACAAAAAACAGTACAAATGATACAGAATTCCAAATCAAGATGATAGGAAGTTAACAATGGTTATTATAGTGCATATTGTTATCTTCAAAGTAGGTGCTCAGATTATGAGATAGAGGCACGCAAAATTGATTAAACAATATAAGCGCTAATGGTTCCTTTCAATGAACTAACAGAAATGAATACAGCTATCTTAGCTGTCTTGTCAGATAACTTTAATCCATGATTTTGATGCTGTTTTTAATCACTGAAACATAAATTATATACTAACCTTACTAAGTGTAATGGAGTTAATTGCTGCATCTAGGTTCTTTCAAAATACACATTACTTTAAATCTTTATTAGTCCAACTTCCTGTTAAGTCTATTAGCTTTAACGATAAAAGAGAAACCAAGTCTGCATTTTTAAAAGAAAAGATAAAAGTGTGTCACAGAAGTTGTAGTTGCTGATTAACAAATTAATTTTGGAGGATCTGTATAAAATGTTACCTGCAGAATTTGTGTCCTCTCTCCCTTCTACCCCTCACCTAGCTCTTTCTCTTTCCCTCTGTTTTAATCTCTTTCCTCTTCCTTCTCCTCTGTTCATTTATTTTCTGTTGGTTTTGAGTGAATAGACATGTCCTCCCTCAGTCCATCTATAATGAAGATGTCCAAGGGCAAGCAGCTGTGGATTTTGCTGTTACGATATTTTCTTTTCTTGAAAAATACCCTCTTCTGGTGTCACATTTGCTCAAAATATCATGAAAGGTAGTAGAAAAATAACATACTCAATCAATCTATTAAAGCCGTTGAAGGAAATAATGAAAAGCATATATGACTGTCAATCCAGGCGTTCCCATACCATTATTCTGTCCTAGCTAAAGTAGCTATTTCCTATCCATGTGAATGTAGTAGCTAATAGTAGCTATTTCCTATCCATGTGAAAACCATTTTGATGGACTCTACTCTGAAGAATTTTGTTTTCCTGAACCTATGAGGAGAAAAATAAGAAGTAGCTCCTCAGTGAACACTTCAGAATCTTCTTTCCTACCCCAGGATGAGATCCGAACTTGAAGAGAACTCAGACCAAAATCCCCGGCCCAGCAAATGTATATATTTCTTCATACTCCAGGAAAGCCGGTGGGGCTGTTAGTGGGAATGCTAAGAGAATGCCATCAGCAAGCTCCTTTTTAGAATATGGGAAATAGATGCTTGCTGGTTTACCTTCTTTCTCTTTGTCACACCAACACAAATTGGTAATACTTCCAAAAATTAATACGATTTCTAGGAAGGTGGGAGACTATACATAGAAGTATTTACAACCATGGCCAGGGAACTTCCAAACCCAGTCTGTTAGTTTCAACCCTCTTTCTCCTATTTTGACTGGGTACATTCTAGAAATCATCCTCAAATAATGTTAGGAGAGTAAGACATATTCATGGGACTATGGTAGAGTTGTTTTCTTAAGAGTGATGATTTCCCTAGATGCTATGAAGAGGTTTGTTCATGTATAAGAGTAGCATTTTTCTTAAATTTCTTCTTAATTAAGATACATCCATCATCTCCTTTCCTTTCCCATACACTTATACAGGTCCAATATCAATCAGTTTAAAAAATTAAAAATAAATAATAGATTCTGTGCATTAACATAAAATCTTATGCCTAAATCCTGTTTTTTTGCTTTTTTTTGGCCACACAACAGTGACATTAAAAAAAATAGTACCAACATTGCCATTAATTCTAACATTAATTCAAGACTAATTCTATAATGTACTTCATAAAGTCAAACATCATTCTTCATAGAAGGTTTCTTGAATATGTAGAATATTGATACTTAAGTGCAAAGTATACGTACATATATACACATGCAGGTTAACATACATATACAGTGAGTTACCTCAATTGATTATACTCTTGTATGTAAAAAATATCATATTTTAACAGTACATTTAGTATAGAAAAACTGATCATTAATGAGAAATTCATAGTGGCTAAATATAGCATGGGCTTTTCCTTCACAGAAACTACTTCTTGTGTGTTTCTTTCTGCAATAAAATAACTAGACAGTAGTTTTCATTCACATGAACAAGGTACAATCAGCTTTGGTACAGTCTATGCCAAAATGTATGTTGTATGGTTCTTCATATTAAAATCAGAGACATGTCTTTCCAAGAATAAATGAAGAGTTCAGCCAGGATCAGTGGTAACACTTAGCTACTTCGGAGGCTGAATGAGCCAGGAGGATTACAAGTTCAAAGCTAGTTCTGGGCAATCCAATAAGACCTGCTATTAAAGCGAAATTTTGAAAAGCACAGAGGATGTACCTTGGTAGCAGAGCACTTGCCTAACATGTGCAAGCCCCTGGGTTTAATCCTGAGCACCACAGAAAAAAAGAAAAAAAAAAAGAGTTCATGTATAATAGGAACCCTTTCCTAAGCTATTACTGAGGAACCAAACTGAGGACCTTAAGAGATATAAGGTATTTCCCATATCTTATTACACTCACAGGATATGTTTGGACACATATTTCACCAAGAACTATGAAATCACCAGATAAATGATACTCAATTTATGGAATTTTTTTGAACTTGATTCCCTAGGATATGCCATATTAGTTTATTTTTAAAAGACACCTATCTAATTAACATAAAAAATTTTGAATTGTTATAATTAATAAGCATGAAAGAATACTAAAAGGAAAACCCTATGTGTTTGAAACAGGCTTTATTTGTGGCTAATTTTGGCTTT